AGGGGGCCCCACCCCCTCTCCCTCCAGTCCCAGCACCGCGAGGGGAGAGCTCAGGTCTCACCCTCACAAATCCCTGAGTCCATCCCAGCCCCGTTGCTTTTCCTCCTGCTCTTCTCTGGCATCCCCCCCTGTTTCTGCTCCCAGGCCGCTGGTACCAAGGACGTCGCTGCGGATAAACGTGCACGTCAGCACGTTTATCTGTGCAGAGATGCAGGCGTAGTTTGCTTTTTGCTGGTGCTGCTGTACCAGTCATCTCTTGCATTTCCTGGGTGTTCTACTCGGACGGCAAAGTGGTAGATTTGAAGGGTCTGAGTGGAAACGTATAGCAGAGATCTTTATTAATTTTCCACGGTACGGTGCTAGGCATTTTTGCTGATGTAAGAGATAGCAAAAAGAGCGTGGGGGAATTATAACCCGAAGAAAGAAATATGTAAATATCTGAGTGCATTAAGAAACCCCTGCTTACCCGGGGCTTGCGCTCCGATTTTATTCTGGGCTCTTTTTGTGGTTGAGGGGTAAATGCTAAAGGGAACGAAGGGTGATGTTTGTACAGACCCAGCTAATCAGAAGCAGGCTGTGGGGAAGATGACGTAGGGAATCCAAATATGTCTTTCGTCCCGATGGCTGGCTTTAATCAATAATATTGTAAGTTCAGCTTCTGAGCGGGCTGCGGGGAGCATCCGAGAAATTACGTCACCTCTCTTCACGGTCCGCTGGTCAGATGTGACTGCTGAAGTTTGAATCTTGCCGCCTGTATCAGAGCGTGACCCTCCCGAATAAATAGAGGTGTTTTTTCACCCGGTTCCTCAGACCGTCTCGGGGGCTGAGCCTGCTGCAAGGATGCGATCGCCGGCTGGGGTGGGGACAGGAGCCCCCGGACTCCTGTGGCTGCTGCTGCTGCTGGTGATGTCCCACTCAGCCCGCGCAGGTGAGCTTCTGGTGCCTTTGCAGAGATACCCGGGGCTGTCAGCTCCCAGCCTGCCGCCGTCCTCGCGATGGGTGGGCATCACCTGCGTCCTGCGTCGAAAGGGCCCGGAGGAGACAGGGACTCCTCTTGGCTGTTTAGCCCAGGGTTTTTCTCCTAGCCAAGGAAAGAGCGCGACCGTCCTCCTTTGCTAGGACCCGGTTCAGCTTTCAGGAGCTGTGTGAGAGCAGGGTACCGAGGTAGAGGCACAGATAACAGTTTCTTACCGTGGTCCCTAAAGCGTTGTCAGTGAAAGCACAGAAAGGGACAATTTCTTTGGCTCTCTAAGAGATTCGGAGTTGCCGCGTCTCTAAATAACGCTGTTCGTAAGTCGCTACCTTCTCTCTTTCTCAGCCATCCTGGAGGTGAACGGAAACCTGAACTGTAGGTGCGTAAAAACAACTTCGGACTACCTCAGTCCAAAGAGATACGAAAGCATTGAGATAAGACCTGTGGGAAGCACCTGCAGACGTACAGAGATCATGTAAGTGCTGCGGGTGGCTCGTGGGGCAGAAAGCTGCTTTCTCCTCCGGCTCCTGCAGAGCAGCGGGGCCAGCCCTGCACCTTTTCTTCTGCAACCCCCCCCCACTTCTCCGCAGCATCTTGGGTCAAGCTTTTACCTCGTTCCTCCTGTCCTGACTCAAGTGGTGCGTTAAGCAGAAGTGTGCGAGTTCTTGAACTGCTTGGCACTGATTTGTTTGTAAATCTACAGCAAAAATTGTCTTTGAACAGTCACCTCTGGGCTTCAAGCACGGTCTCCGCTCCGCACGGGAACGTGTTGCATCTTGCTTTTTCCTGACCGTCCTGTGGCTTCCCTCTGTCGCTCGCGGCTTTCTGTGATCTGCTGGCGCTGGAAATGAAAGCTGAGCCTTGCAGACCAGCTCTGGCTGCTCGAATCCCTGCCTTTGGAGGGGAGGGTAGTGCTCATAAACTCCCCTTGCGTTTCAGAATTAAATTAAAAGCCTCAGGGAAGGTGTGCGTGAATCCTGACGCCCCTTGGGTAAAGAAACTGCTGAAGCGTATTGCTAGCACGTAAGTTGCTTTGATGAAAAACCCTTTGGCTCAGGTGGCCCCAGTAGGGAATGGAGAGGCTTCCAAGAGGGGGGGGGGGCTGGGGGGGGGGGGGGGGGGCGGGGAGCCAAGGGACCCACTCCCAAGGTGATGAGGGGTGAGACCTCGCTGTGCAAAGCAGCGTTCGGTCGTTCAGCACGCTGGTGCTGCCATCCGTGGGTCGTGCTCTCCCGGGCTTGTGCACGGCGCCGCGCCTCCGAAAACGTTTATGGCGGAAAACAAAATCTTTTGGGGTGGGGTGGGGAATGGCAGGAGCAGGGTTTTCTCATTGCGAGTGCAATAGCGTGTCGATGCTCGGCTGGGAAAGCTGCCCTCCTTTGTCATGCCCAGGTTCGTGGCACAGCAGAGGGGTGGCCGGGAGACGTCCCCACGGGTGCCGCCTGCTCCGAGGAAACGGCGGCGACTTCCTTCAGTTGGGGCAGGAGCTTCCTCCCCCAGGACCCGCTTTTCTCTGCGTTCACATGTTTCTCCTCCTTCTGCTTTTCGCAGGAAGAAAAAATAAGTTTCCTGCTAAGGAAGTTGACGCTCGGAGCCCCGCGACGGGCTGGCAGATAATGCACAGGCGTGCAAACCTGGCCGCTCCTCACTTTGCCCTCGCTTCCCCCCCCTTCCCGAAAGCCCCGTGTCCGGCCCCGGCGGCGGCCGCTGCAGGGAGGGCAGGCAGCTCGCTGCTGACCCCAGCCCCGGGGCAGGTTCGTGGGGGTTTTTCCCACCTGCCTTGGGTCCTCGGACCAGCGTGAATAGGAACCCTTCGTTTATTTACTTGCCTGTGGACTGTGAAGCCTTTCTCTGTCGGGGGCTGCTCCCGTCTCTGTAAGAACGACTCTGTGACTCTTTCCGTGCGAAGCGCTCATCGACAGAGTGCGTGTCTGGTGTTTTTTTTTTAACACAGCGTTGCGTGTCCCGTCCTGAGAGCTCAAGTCAAATAAAATTCAAGTTTTTTTTCTTCTGCTGTATTTTCCCTGGATCTCCTAGCTTCGAAGAAACTCGGCAGAGCTTCTTGATAAACCCCACCGTCGTAGCCTTCCTGGAGCTGAATTTACCGTCATTTGCATCCGGTGCTCTTGTCTTGACGCTCTTTCGCAGACATGCCGCAGGCATTAAAATGTGCGTTCGAATACACCTCAGGCGAGGTATTTCTGTCATAGGTAGGGGAACAAGGGCAGCGCCCGGGCGCGCGTCGGGCACGACGACAACCCCTTTTACGGGGAGGAATGAGGCAGGGGCGGGGAAAGGTTTGTCCAAGGCAGCGACGGTAGCTGGGATGGGTGTCCCAGCCCTGAACCACCAGCAAGGGTCCGGCAGCCCTGGCACAGCTGGCGGGAAGGCAAGTTCCTTCCCGGCATAACCTGTTGTGTGTCTCGGTGCTGATCTGAGGGCAAGACGTTGCCGGCGGGGAGCTGGGTGATACAGCCCGTGCACCCCACATCCAAGCGCCGGCGTTCGTCGTGGAGCTGGGGCTTGCAGGCAGCTGTAAGGCTTTCGAAGGCAGTAAAGGCCAATAAGAAAATATAGGGGATGGAGGCGAGCTCACTCGGCAGAGTTTTGGGATAATCGTCCGCGGGGGGAAAGAGCAAAAGCAAATGTCACCAAAGCTCAGGCTGGGATGCACCTTGCAGGGGGAAATCTGGCTGTGGAAATGAGTAATATTTGATCATGCAAAAAAAAGAAAAGCACCCCAAAAACCTCCAGGCTGGTGCAGCTGCGTGGGCTAAGAACAAGCGTTGGGGGAAACCACCGATATCTTTACAAGACCCAGCTTCGTAGGACAGGGAAAACAGAGCCGGTTTCAGGGAGCCCGGGCCCCGGACAAGCCCCGAGACTCTTTTTTATCAGCGGCATTGCAAGCTCAGCGAGCGCTGTCAGCAGGGAACGGAGATGGGCAAAACCCCCCCCAACCCCACGGGCCCCCGGGGCCTCCCGCCTGCGCCGCCTCACTTCTCCTATTTTCTGGCTCAAATAGGGGGATGCTGCCAGGGCCGGGGATGGGGCCGGCATGGCTGCACGGGTGGCCCTGCTGCTGGGGGTGCTGCTGGTGACCCACCGCCCCGGGGATGCAGGTGAGGCTCCCCGTGCCCCCACGAGTGGAGCTGGAGGATGCTGGGGGGGTGTGTGTGTGTGTGTGGGGTGAGGTTTTCAGAGGCAGCATCCCGCTGCCAACTCCGGGGCTTAAATACTGCCGAGGCTCTTTCGCAAGCGGGTGCGGCGATCCTGGTGGGACGTGGGGGGAGACGGCATTGCCGGGAAAGGCTTTTGGGGATGGCGGCGGGTTTTCGGGCCATGCGTGAGCCGCGGCCGTGTGCCCCTTCAGCTCTCCTGGAAGCCGGCAATCTGA